GAAAATAATTTTAAGCAAACACTTCGGGAGTTCCCAGGCTCGAAACATACGCAACACTATGCCTTCACCTCCAGCATTTTATTAAGAGTAACAAACATGGAAGCTAAGAAACATTTTCAAGTCACACCGCCAAGAGAAACAACCTCTTTACTCTTAGCTCCTCGTGAGTACAAGTCTTTACGTGACTTGCCTTATGTGAGATGGCGGAACGTGATAATACCTCGGCCGGACTGAGTGTACAAAAAATTTGTGATCCGGGCAACATGCTCCATCATTCCTCGGGCCAGTGCACAGCTGGCATAGGAAACAGAATGCAAAATCCTCAACACGCTGCAAATAAGCTCAGGTGTTTTAAAGTCTATTTACTAGCTACATCGAGGCGGGGTACTAACTGCTGAGCCAGCGAATCTGGTCGTGGCGATGATGATGAATCAGTGGAATGCGGCTGGTTTTCAATCCATCCTGAAGTTGCAGTGACTGGCAGGATATCCGAGCACTGTGATGCCCAGTGCGGGCGACAAGTTACCGCTTGCCCACACCGCTGACCGCCTGCAGGTGCGACAACACTTGGCTACCAACCTCAGTAGGGAGGATGGGTGGGTGTGTTAACATTGCACCCAAGCCATTCACAGTGCAAACCTTGCTTTCACAAGGGCTAAATTGTTCGTATGCGCATGTCATAGCAACTATGCTACCAGCCGGAAGGTCGTGGGTTCGATTCACGACGAGGTTACTGGATACTTCACTTCACCTAATCCTTCCAGCCGCACTATGGCCCTGGGGTAGACTCAGAAATGTCGTACCAGGAATATTCCTGGAGGTACAGGGCGGCCGGCGAGTAAGGCTGACAACCTCACCTCCATCTGTGAGCAGATTGTCTAAAAAATGTGGGAGCCTCGACGTCTCACAACCCTATGGGCCTCCACGGACTGTTAAAGGGGGTAGCTTTACGTGTACTTGTCACGACGCATATATTTTCATGCTTCACTACTAATATTATGACAAGAAATTGGTGCAAAAACTGCATTACGCAGGTGCTCGGGCCCCCGGGGCGCATACCGTTATTTTACTGAGGACAGGTTCGATTTTGGGAGACGGTCTACATAAATTATTGAAATTTAATACCAAACGAAGCAGTTTCCGAGGAAAACTCAAATGTTGTGTGATGAGGCCCTATTTTGGACAGAGGGACATTCATATTCGTCGGGCACCGACTTATGGATGATTTCTTAAATACTGAATATGGGGAGGAAAAAAAAACAGTCCAACCTTTCAAACTGTCTACGAGAAAACTGGCATATCGCGTCTGGGCCACTAGATGATGTAGTTCTTCTAATATACCACCTGCACAGTTTTGTTTAGGGAAACTGGTTCCATAAATTACTGAAATTTAATCAAAATCGTTAGACCGCTTTCAAGATAATCACAATTTAATGGGGCCCATCTAAAGGGCCTCTGTTTCCGAAGCTAGTGTTCATATTCACCGGCATATGGCGGATAAACTCTTTAAATACATATTACGGATACAATCCGTCCACGCGTTCAAGCAATAAAAAGCAAGGCGCACAGACAGACGGCATTCCGAACAGCAGCCTTCGTATTCGGGGGAAGGGATGTAAATACTCAGGACCCAGGTATCTACATGCTATCATACAGTACGCAGGCCTACGTAAAAAAAATTCCATTGTTAAGCGACGACAAACCAATGTACGGTCATCTTTCATCAATAAAATATTTTTTCGTCTTAGTTTTAATGACGAAATATGTGCACCGCACGGGTTGGCATAGCGGTAACGCTGTAGACTTCTACTCCAAAGGTGTTCGGTTCGAATCTCGCACACGATATTGGCTACCACGACCGGCGATATTCCTGGCCGTACTCAGTCCCTCCAAGTAAATACCAGCATAGTACGTCTATTAAATCACGGCCGTTTCCTTCCAAATTCTTACCAACTCACCATTAAACGCTATATAGTCTAGCTAGTGACAGCGCTGTAGAAACCGCAGGGGGGGAGGGGAAGCAAACATATGGACGAATGTGTAAATTTTAAAACTTATTTCTATCAATATTAAAGCAGGTAACAGAAATGCCAAAGACTGACAAGGGAATCGAACCATCCAGCCTATAAATGAGAAGTCTACATAATTCGCGAAACAAATTCCACGAAATCACGATCATATCTCTGAAAACTGTTGCAGCAAATTCAAATAAATAGGGTATAAGCCCCTGAATTCGGTCACATCCCCCATATTCCAAACCGTGTGCTTGTATAACTACATATTCAAAACACAGCAGTGTATTTCTCACAAGGCTCAAAGTTCTACATGAAAACCCAAAAGGATTATAGTAGCTTGCAACTGCTTCGGCGTCGGCACGTTTGCCATCAGAAATTTGACTTCAGCCAATTCGAATATACAAAATGTGGGGGGGGGAATATATATGTATGACTCAATACATCTACAATTTCTAAACAGAAAACGTACCATATATCTGAAGAAAATTACAACGGACAACACAACTCAACAGCGGCCATTTTACTCATCTTCTTCGGCGCCCACCAGAACCCTCACACGACAACAAATTCATACGACACTCCTACGTCAGGTCGCGCCTGATTAAGATAATTACAAAGTACTAAGCAACACTTCAATACTTCAACTGTAGCGTGCCCGCACACCTCGTCACACCTGTGCAACCAGAAAGCACTAAACCGACTGCAGGGCTGGACACTTCACTACAACACTCGCCACAGAATACAAGTCTCCGCTGGAGAAAGACAACAAGACGACTGCCCGTCGATCTACGTATCCTTTCTGTGGCATTCACAGCACACACGGTCTCTCCTCGGCCGCCTCTACAGCAACTATCTATCTTATTACAAAGGCGTGTCACCATGACAACACGTCGTCATAGTCCGCTGCGGTGAGTAATCCTATCTCAGCTGTGAATCCTCATAGCAATTTACTTCGCAAAATTAAATAAACATCCGATCAAAACTTCTTCCTTCTGTCGCCTCTCTATGAAGTAATACGAAATGTGTGCACTCAGCTTTAATTACAAAACGCAAGAGCTGGTAAATGCTCTACTAGACAAATGTACCTCATCATTGTATTCCAAGGTATCTCTCGGTTCAGTAGCCGAACATGAATTACTTTGAGAGATTCGTAAAATCACATACGCTGGACAACCTTGTTTATACCATAACTGTCGCTTCTTTGTGAATATGAAACGGTTGAATTCAACCTAAATCACAAAAGTAAGGGCTTAACAGATATTAAACTGCTGTAAAGGTTCTTCTAGAAATACACAATTACCACATAATCGTACTCCAGGAAATTTCTCTCGGTTCAATGCTCGAGGATCGATTACATAACAAAATTGCCACAATTCCATTTTGCAGAATGATATAAACATCTGGCAACTTTCTTCTAGCTTGCTCCTGCTCCCTTCAAAAGTGAAATTCAACTTTAAAAAGTAATTAAACCAGTTAACACAAATTACGTGCGTTTGATGTCATGTCATGTACACAGACTTGCCGCTGCAAGAAGTCTCTCTAAGGAAATGGCGCTTCGGGTACGAAAGAGATGAAAGGATAACATTAACATGGATATCTTCTGCGGGCTACTATGCACCCTGACAGTGACGTAAAAGTGAAGTTATCCCTGGACTTTACGCACCATGCCATCAAGACATATAGGGGTGTGCAGGTATAGCTCCACCATTATTAACCTTGCACTACATGGACGTGGGTGGTCAGCTTCACGACCCGGCCGCTTTTCCCGTAAGGAAACACCTCCCGGTATCCATTGTATATGAGGCTGAGTCGGCCTCAGAAGCGGTCTGGGCGTCATGGAAGAAGGAACATTTTCTTTCCCGTACCGGGAATTGAACCCGACTCTTCAGCCGTCCAGGCCGCGGCCTACCCGCTATACTGACTGCGCTATCCCAGCTCCCACAATAGTGCCGAATGGTGAAATGGAAAGAATATGATCGGAAGTGGTCGTGGCCCAATTCAGACATCTGCCTCGAGGGACTGGGTAAAGCCACAAAACTCAAAAGTCAGGATAAGTGGTGATTCGACCGATGCTCGAAACCGGAACCTCTCAAATACGAGTATACCTCTACTCCAACCCATTCGATACACGAGGCGACTGTGAGGATGGGAGGTGGATAGAACTGGCTCGGGACTGTGTCGCATGGTTGCACTTAGTACCACAGGTGTTGACCCCGGAATTCTACTGTCACACGGTTTTAGTTACTTCCGTGCGTGACTGTGTTAGTCACCTGACGTGAAGTGACTATCTCACGGGGCACGCGGTAGCGTAGTTTGTCGAGGCACTATGCTACAAGCCGTAAGGTCGCTGGTTCGATTCTCGATCTCACGGGATTTTCAAATTTACATAATCCTTCCAGCCGCACTATGTCCCTGGGAGAAGACTCAGCCTCTAACACAAAAAATTACAAGTAATCTTCCTGGGGCTAAAGGGCGGTCGGCGTGTAAGGCTGACGTCACCGCCATCTGTAAGCCGACTGTCTAGAGAAAATGTGGGAACCTCGGCGTCTCACAACACTACGGGCCGTCACGGCCTGTTACAGGGATAGCTTTATAGCGTTACGGTTAGTGATGCATTTCACTACAACAATCTACTAATGGCCAAAATGTTCTCTCCGCGCTCACAGGTCAACTGCCCGTTACATAACGAGACGTATATTAAAAGCTTACTCCCATAGTCTCTCTCCAGCGAAATCAGGAACAGATAAACCACACCTTCTTGTATCTCGTGACCACTACCTGTGACGGTATTGGAAAAGGTTCAACGACCAAACAAACGGTATGCGAGTTGACAAGTGCTGTCTTCCGGAATGTGACACCGTGTGCTCAGGCATAAAATCATCGACGTTTCGGAGGAACGTATACTGACCCCTCCCCCCCCCCAATCAGAGTCAAAGAGTAATTCAAACGAGTAACCAGCAAGAAACAGGTGTCGTCACATCCAAGTAAGCAACCCTCATAGTCACCGGTGTGAGATCCTCAAATCCAAACTTACGGGATTTATTCGAGATATCGAACTTCCACTGTACAATATATCCCTGATGTGCTAGTCACCGTCACTACAAAACCCTGTTATTAGTTCCAGTCCTAAGCAAGTTCAACCTCACAATCAACGTCATTACAGACAAAAAAAAATAGGCAAAAACTCCGATAAACCTTTCCCCTCCCAAAAAAAAAATTAAAAATCACAAAAACGTATACAAGAGGTACAGGAACACTGTCACGACGTTCCTGTATCAAACTTCACGTTCACTGGATCACGAACTCCACGCAACAAGAGCCCCCCCCCACCCACAATAAAAACTTCAAACCCCGATGTATGAAAGTAAGTGGAATTTTAACTAAGCAACCTAGCTTCTTTGGGACAAAAGTGCCACTTTTCAGGACTTGTGATTTGTTAAAAGTCACTGGTAACCGTTATAAAGCTTTCGCGTTCATCACCTGCAACCCCCCCCCCTTTTCCTTAAGAAAGTGGAAGTATAGCTGCAACGTGTCGTGCTCCCAGGTCTTCGTCCTTTGTGTAACGAGTACCCTAACTAAAATCCGACTGATGTGGGGCCGGAAAGGGCAAAGGGCTACTGTAACATCAGACTCAAAAATTCAAAATTTTTAACTTAGTAGTTACAACCTATAAAACCAATATTAACGACCGTAGGAATTCGTTGCGCTGACCACGCGACACCCGCTATCCCCTAAAGTTGGCACTACTTTTTTTTATTGCTGGTGGGGTGGGACTAAGTCCCTTGTACTGCGGCCACTTCCGGCCTATTGTACCAGCCCCAGATGATAGGTGGGGGTGATTGCGGAGCAATTGGTGGAATGAAGATTGGCAGGGGAAACCGCAGTACTCGGAGTAAACCTGCCCCAGCGCCACTTTGTCCACCACAAATCCCACTTGACCAGACCGGGCGTCGAACCCGGGCCGCCGCGATGGGAAACCAGCGACTAACCGCTTGAGCTATGACGCGGCCCAAATTTGGCACTAACTTCGCCGAAAAGCGGCGGACGTTCAGTCGGCATAGTTCGTTTGCGGACTACAGGCCACGGAGTTTAGTTTTTTTCTAGTTCATTACAACCTAGACTAACGAAAATTTCCTATTACTCAAGAGATCTATAAACTGCGACCAGCATTCTGGCTGTGTCTGGGGACTCAAGCGAAGTGTTGTGTTTTCTCTTCAGACCATCTGGCTGCACGCTTCACACAGCCATTGAGATAAATTATCAAGAGAAGGTTTGTTGTAAAAAGGAAACAAAAAACGGAATATTTAATATCCCAGGTAAGTGAACTGGAAAATTACTGGTCGAATATCCTACGCCGAACGAGGCAAGCAGCTGTACATGGGTTGGGAACTGAAAGGTCCATGCACATATGCAAATTACATCTCACAGCGGCGACTATGGAGGGTGCGCCTATCTTCTGGGATGTGACGACGCTCAGCCTGGTAGAATGCGTCCATCTTCAGGGTCAAGCATTAAACCGACAAAGGAAGCATTAGGCACAGTAAAGAACAATTTACTCTGCTTCTGGTAGGGGCCTTGTCCTTTGTGCCTAAAGATGGAGGCTGTGCGTTCTACCGATACGTCAGCAAACTTCTACCAGGCTACACCGCGTCACATTCCAAAAAACAGCACTCTTTTAAATTTTACTTCCCAATCTGGATCCGTTATAACAACAAAAAAAATTGGTAACTTTTCCCTTCCGTGGAAAAATCAATTTCAGATCTCTTGCTTTAGGTACAAACCCGAGATTAAGGGCCGTGGGGATCCGTTGCGCTGACCACGTGACACCCTCTATCCGCTAAAGTTAACACTAACTTCGCTGAGAAGCGGCGATCGCTCGGTCGGTATAGTTCGAGTGCGGACTTCAGACCACGGAGTTTGTTTTTTTGTTTGTTTTGCTTTAGGTACAATCCATCTGGTAACAGTTCAACCTCACACGACACTAAATAAAGACATGATATATACATAAAAACAAACGCCAAACTGTTGCGAGGTGACGTCAAGGAAAGAGACGCCAACATGTAACTGTGATGACGCGGCTTGTGCTCCTCTTGCCTGCCACCTGCTACTCTACATTGAGGATTCTGAAGCATGCAGTTATCTGGGAAGTATGGAGCAAAATACACTCCACGGTACAGAATTAGCCCCGGTCAGTTCAGAAACGAAAGAGATTTCTGATAGGGTTATCATTCTCACTTCCCACACTTCCAATATATTACACACCTCGAAGAATAACAATTTATTTACTTATTTGTATATTACTTAATGAGGCTATTAATTACTTACTTACTCATAGAGTTGAGCCCTTCTGGAAGAACCGCCAATTCTGCAACTACTCAAGAATTTCCCAGCATTTTATTGAACCCGAAGGTTAATTACCGTGTTCACAAGAGCCCTCCACTGGTCCCTTTCCTGAGCCAGATCAATCCAATCCATACCATCCCATCCTATCTCTCCAAGATCCATTTTAATACTGTCCACCCACCTACGCCTTGGTCTTGCCAGTGGTCTCTTTCCTTCTGGCTTTCCCACTAATTCCTCCTCTCCCCATAATGAGGCTATTAATAGCTCAGAATATACGTCGAATGGATGGATGACGGTGAGCACTGAATGAGAAATGACGTCGAAGAAAGCGGCCGTAGCCTATTTTAAAGCACTATCTGGGTATTTTCCTGGGGGATGGATCGCGCTGAGGATATCCAGCAGACCCTCAGTCAGTATCGCAGTCAAGATTGAACTGGGTGCTTCTGAATATTAAGTCCGAAACTTTGCCGCTGCAGCCAACTTGCTCGG